AACCAGGCGGCTCCGCAATTATGGCGGCTCCTGTGGCTATTATAGCTCTGCGGCTCCATCAACTAAGTTTGAAAATGAAATACAGACACTAAATCTATAGTATAAAACATATCAAAGCTGATATATATGTGCTTGGTATATATTCTCACTTGAAAGATTGGTTGCCACCAGAAGCTACTAGTGGATAAGCCATCCTAGAGTGGCTGGAGCATCAACTGTGGGCCCTGGAGCCGGGCGGCTCCCAAGATGCTGGCGGGCCCTTCAGCAGAATGGATATTTCACCGGCGGGCTCGGCTCTAAATCGACCATTTTTCACCGGCGGGCTCGGCTCCAGGTTGCTAAATGGGGTCCTTTTGCATCAGGTCGGCCCACGATCGGAAGGCTCGCACGGCAAGCTCCGCTCAGTACATATAGGCTGAGGGCATACGTGCGGCAGTGACACTACCGCCGCTCTTCCAGGACAGCCTCTTTGAGCACGTCACTCGAACAGTCCAGGGCATCCTGCAGTCTTACTGAGGAGAAGACTGGACAGATTGGCACGGGATTTTCTGTGATCATTACGCCCTGGGATCTGCACCCTCCCGCAAAGGGACACCGAGCCTGGTGAGTTTTGTATCTGGTCAGAAGACCTACACACAACTGGTGGCAGAACTGCGACGCGCTCAGATGGCAGTCGAGGATACGGCCCGCATACAGAAAATGGCCAACAACCTCGCCACAGATGAACTCTCCTACGATCAGCACAAGAGCACGTGATACGAATGTTTGCTCAACACAGCTGCTGACGATGACAGCGAGGACAGCCTGGCCAATAAGGTGGTCTCCACAGCGGCTTATGCGGAGGAGGTTACACGGTCCATTTGTAGCTGGGTCTGGGTAATTACCTATCTGGCTTCATGTTTGCAAGGACGCGTGATGCTGAATCTCTCCCTCTTTGCAGACTGCGATGAACAACACAGCTCGCATTCGGAAGTGGGAGACTGGCGGCTCTCGCCACAAGAGCTTGCGTGCGATATACCCTCAAGTCTCAGTGGCGCGGGCGACCGCAGCTTAACACGCTCCTAATCTGGTCATCCAGAACGAGAACGAGCTTGGCCCTTATGTGTCTGCCACGCTACTCTCAATCAAGCAGCAGGTCCACGCCATCAGAAACGGGTTGTGTGAGCGACAAAGATTGATCCGTCTCACTGACAAGATTGAGGCAGCCAATTTATGGATCCAGGAGAATGCAGAGGCTGTGGGCGAGGTGATCTACCGCCGTATATTGAAGCGAGCTCGAGACCTGTGCCGCTTGCGAGGTTTCCGTCAAGACTCTGACAATGTTTGTGCCATCGACAGCAGCTGGGTAAAGGCGACCAAACTCTCCATCAAGGCCGCAGCGGACATGCAAGAGCTCTCAGCCTGGCTCCAGGAAGAGCTGCAGCTCACCTGCAAAGAGCCCATGCAGAGCTCAATGTTTGCTTCCCGTATGTGGTTCTAACCATGCTCCCTCTTTTGAAAGCTGACCACAGCTGGACCGCAGCTTCAATTGCCACCGACAAGCCCAAATTTGCAGGCCCAAATACTCCCGACAGCCAGCACCCGAGCCAGGCCAGTACGCCAAACAAGACTCACGACCCGTCTCTGATCACACGCAATAGCCCGAAGCGCCTGCCCGACTTTGAGGGAGATTTGCGACACCTGCCATCCAAACATTGTCTGGTTACAATGGTACCGCTCACTGATTCCAAAGGTGGTCTTGGCACCATGATCCAGTAGCAGCGTGTACAACGTGGCAGCTATGGCAAGAATGACATTGTGTGCTATAGCCAGACGGCCTGTGGGCCCGGAGTCTTAGGGTTAAGGTCCCAATGTCGTATTCCTTGCGCTCTCATCACACAGTCTCTCATATCTTTTCCACCCTGCACGTCAATGTATACTACTGCATTATACATACACTCAGTTATAAGTCTTATCAGAAGCCAATAAGGACAAGGCGCGACCTCTGGGTACGCAGCGAGCTCTTTCACCGCGTCACCCGACTTGCAAGATGCCGGGATGGCCACCACACAAGTTGGCGCCATGCCAGTCAGTGCAAAAGCCGAGACCTCTGTAACGCGCCCACAGATTCCAAGCCAATCATCCCATGACCCGTGGGCGCGTTCGCAACCCACTCTTTGCATAGTGCCACATCTTTCCTGTGTGCGCTCATCCAAGTTGTCCAATTGTCTCGATACTTCCACATGTCCACCAATGAGCCGTTGCAAAAGATTGACCACACATCTGCAGCCCCGCCGCAGTGTCTGGGCACCCTCCATGACTGTCGGAGGGCCCGATCTTTGGTCGTCGGTACTTGGCAAGCCGCCAACCCAACCCACCATTCTGCGACGCCAACCCTCAGGTGTCACCGCCTCTTGATGGCACCTCCTCCTGCTCCTCTGCCTGGCTCTTCCGCTGTGCCTTTCTTTCCCCCGTTTCATGATTGGGTCAGACCCGGTACTAGAACTGCCCGGCCCCAATTGTCCACTCCAGTCCGCATGCCCAGTTCCATCCTGGCGCCACCTGTAACTGCACTTCTACCTGATGCAAGCTCGGATGGAGACGACGACGTCGAGATGACCAATGTCACGAAGAAACAGGACGACAAAGACGAGCTCAAAGATGAAGACAAGAGCGGGCCCCTTCCCAAGATTAACAAAGGCAAAGGCAGGGCGCATGCACCAGCGAGAGGCAATGAAAAACATGATGGAGAGCAGCGAGAAGACAAAGATGCAGACAAAGAAGAAGGAGAGGGAGAGGTACAAGGTGCGAGGGTTTGGGATATCCCCACATCGGAAGAGATCCAGGCATCTTTCTGCGCATACTTGAGGTCGGCCACTCCTGGCAGCGAGGCATTGGACGCGCGCCCGGTTTCGCTCTTGACGTATCCAACAATCAGGAACGGCCTGTGAGCTCATTCAGTCTGTCTTGTGGGCATCCCTTCCCTTACCACGCAAACACAGGCTCGTCCGCAAGACTTACGTGTCCGGGAAGCAGTGTTCATTTGCAAAGAAAGGCATTAGTCTCACCGGACCTCTCACGCTACTTTTGGTCGAAGACGATGCCTATATACGCAACTGTCAGATGCAAATCTTGTCTGTCATACAAGCCCAGTCTCCTCCAGCGATGCTCTCACAGCCCCCTATAGATGGTATGATTCACAGTTCCGTGATATATGGGCATCCTGTCTCTCGTCTGTCGCATCCTCAGCACATCTATACGCCTCTATCACACACTTCTGCATATGCTAACAGACCTTCAAGACGGCCTGCGACTCATTGTTCTCTTCTGATCCTATAGACACGGCGGCCTCTGCATCCTTTCTAGTTCCCATGCTACATCATGTCGTATATTTGTATAAAGGTCCGTGCCAATTTCCCTCGTGCCACCCAATCCCCAATGGAACGACTGGTTCAAACACATACACCGAGTTGCGCCGCTCTACTGGATCTCGCACGTCAATACGTTTGCGCGGCCTCGTCGCTTGATCCATCTCTCAGTGACTTTGCTGAACTCAATGCTGCACTGATCGGCAACTTGGCGCAAGCCAAGTACCCTTCCGACGAAGCCACACTTGGCCAGACATGAACAGGGCACTGGAAGTATATATGGCAGTGGTGGAAGATGGAGACTCCAGCACGACCATTCTGAATATGATGGGGCTTTATCTGCACTTCGCTTGTAACAACGGTAGGGAGGAACAAGGTTACGCGAGTGTTGCAGATCTGAAGAACAAGGTTCTCATCAACTCTGACTTTGACTGTGTCAGCATACTCACATCCCGCCTTGTACAGATACGCTTCGCCAGCGACAACGCACCACTGACAGCCATGACTCTCATGTATCAATGCACTATCTACTTAGTAACCCTGAACACCAACGAGCTTTGCGAGCAAAAGAAATGCACAGAACACACGGCACAGGACACATTGCAAGCACAGGATCAAGCAATCAAGAAGCTCGAGGTGCAGGTAAGCATCCAGTATCTGATGTGAGATTTTGAAGCCTCAGGTTTGTGTCCAGATGTTGGATGTGCGAGAGAAGTTACATGCCATACTTTCAGTGAAGGACAAGGTGTCGACCGCGGTAAGTCTTTCTAACGTACCATTAACAGCGGTGCTCAGACATCATGCAACTGCCCGAGGAACTGTAAAAGCCAACAAATTTAGGTCCGATGGTTGTATGGCGGCCCTGAGCATCTGAGCCATACACCTACATATACACTGGGCCCGCGGCTCGCCCTTGATTTTTTATGTCTTACGGTTGGCCATATCTTGTGGCTCCCGTGTCAATTCTGATTATCTAATCGGCTTATCTTACAATCAAACGCGCTTGCGCGCACACTTAGCAACCCCCTGGCAGATTTGAAGTTGTATTGAAGCTGGAGCTTCCAGTCCCGGTATGACCCCAACCATTGCCTCTATAGGTAGATGCAATAGTCCACAGGACATCTCGACTGTGTCGCTTGTACACTCGCCCACACGCCAACAAGTGAGTTCTTACTTTGGCTCATCTTGCATCCCCTCCAGAGGCTCAGGTATCGTATGCGGTCTGCATACTATGACAGAACACTCATCTCCCGCTCACCCTGGAAGGTTTGCACACCCCCATACCCTGGGGTGAAGTTCTGCAGTCTCATTCAATCTGATCTGCAAAGAATGGGTCGCAGTCCTCATTAGGTCAAACCACCACCACCGCAACAAATTGATACATACCAAACAGTCAGGAACCTTTTTGGATTTACCAAACTTGGCACGCAGGACCACCATAGCCCTCTACGGGGTAAGATCAGACGTGTCAAGAGACTCAGGCCACATGGATCCCTTCACTTTGTATGCTGACAGACGGTGTCTGTCTATGAGATACTGGTTTGGGTCACCCTCGACGGTGATATGCATGCAGCTGATGGGACTGGCATAGCGGTGGGAGACATGGTGGTACGGTGGTCCAGATTGCAAGCACGCTCTTGTCGAGAGCTGTCAGATCGTAACACGCCTTCCAGCCAGCCAACGGCATTGTGAGTGTACTCAGGGCCGTTTATTGATCTCCGATGAGAATCCGTCTTCTCCTCTCATCCTGTCTCTCGCTTCTCTTTGCCCACATGTCCTATGAGCCCACAGCTTTGCCTTCTCATCCCATCCTTCCTCCTGGCCTGTATGTGGCCTGGTATGCAATAGAAGCCACATGCAGGCCAGCCTCAATCATGCATGCACCAGGGCGCAAAGACCCACAAACCCAAGCTATCACTCCTCCCCTCCCTCTCGTTGCCTGCCGGTCACAGCTCAGCGGTGTAAAGGGCACCAAAGCTTGCATCCCGACATAGCTCATATGAGCGCATCTGCCTGTGTAGTATCTCGGATCCTGTATTAATGTGAATATCGGACCGTCTCCTCTGTACCTGTCTCTTTAACTCGTGCTCGTTGATCTCGTCCTGTAGATCTTGGCACCCATGGTAGTGGCTTGAGGACTTGCTACTATTCCGGCTACGGAATATAGTGTTGTAAGCTTCATCGCTGACAATGGTTTCTTCATCTTCAGCTTTGACGACCCCGACACTTTCTTCCAGTGTCTATGCTGGCATGGTCCTCATCGCCTCCACTACAGTGACAAATATTAATTCTGCCCGCAATGTCACCTACTCCTAACAAAGCGTGATGCTGAGTACAATCAATAAGCTGTCTAGTATACTGTGGTCTACAGGATGTGTGCACCATACCAGTCCAATAGAGTTCTGTTGCAAGCCATGGATAATTTAATAATTGAATTTTGTCCGATAACTCTAACATCTGCTACAGTAGCCAATGAAAAAAATCCCTTAAAAGCTCGGAAAGTAGCACAGATAAAATAGATATGGTATTAGTACTTGATGTAGCCACCCTTGGCATGCTTCAGAGCAGCTACACAACAGGGCATCGAGTCATATAAGATATAAATATAATTAATATCCAATTTTGTCTACTCCTCCTAAATAGCTTACCATGACTGGTCACGCGTAGATGGCTGTTGCTTGTGTTGGCATATAGCACAATCTATGTATAGCACAATCTATGTGGTCCCAGACATGCTCTATAATGCTGATGTCGGGTGACAAAGGGATCCAATCGAGTTATTTGATGTGATGTTGCTTGAGCCAGTGCATCGCAAGGCCGGAAGTGTGCTCTGTATCAAGGTCTGACTAGAAGATGAACCGTGCACGTTGAATCTTGTAGTCTCTCAATATGCCAAGCAGCCCCTCTTCCAGTATCTTACAGTACTGCTCCTTGTTCATCGTCCCTTGGATACGTACAAGACAACCTGGTCCATCATAGGTAATGATGCCCCAGACCATGACCGAGCCACCTCCATGCTTGACAGTGGAGTTGACATTCCATGGCAGATACTCTTCCCCAGGTCTCCTACGGCACCATAGTCTCCCGTCTGAGCCATACAGGTTGAATTTTAACTCGTCCGAGAATCCAACCCGCTTCCAGAAGTCCAACCCATCTTCCAGATGCTCCCTTGCCTACTTCTGTCACTTGCACAAGTAGACAATCTTGAGGAATGGCTTGTTCCGGTGTTTACGTCCATGGTAGCCGTTCCAGGAAAGCATGCGGCAGACTGTCAATGGGCAGGTGAGGGTAGTACTTGCGCTGGAGGTCAGTTGCACTCAAGGCCTTGCCTTGCTTGATCAGAAGACACACAGCTCGCTTGTCTTTGCGCATAAATGCCTTCGGCCGACCAGGTCTTGGCTTGGGATAATAGAAATTGGGCACAGAGTCACCTTCTCGTTGCTTTTCGAGGTCACAAATGGTACGGGATATGATACGACAGTCGACTTTGAGTTTGCGAGCAATGGTTGTGAAGTCTTTGCCTTGTTTGGTGTACTTCGTTCAAGTCCAAGATTTTTAGTAGGGGTCATAACAACCATAGTGTATAGATTTAAGCAAGTGTATGAGAATTGAGGCTGTTTATTGTCAAGGTCATGATTGGAGAGAAGAAAGTGGTTGCATGCGAACTCGCACTTGACCACTCTCAATTTTCCCACGCTCCCGCTCCCTACACTGTATAAAATCCCTCGATTTACACATTGTACAACGTAGTGTATGGAGTAGAGATTGTACAAATTTAATTATCAATTCTGACCGATTGTATAGCAGGCCAGGCAAGTATCAACGTGACAGGCAGAATTAATGTTCGTCACTATACATACTCATCAAGGAGCATCGGAATTCCGTGATCCTCAATCACTCCCGTACGTACTGTTCTTATCAGGTGAAGCACGAAGTTCATCCTCTCACGTCGAGCAGCTTCCTGCTCCTGCATTGCCTCAATCATGGCTTGTGTAGCCTCAACATCTTGGGTGCAACTTGAACTACTATGGCGGTCCAGGGTACCAAGCGCACTCCTATTGCTCGTAGATAGAGGTAGCAGCAGGCTTGACCGCTGTTGTCTCCCATTCAGGTACGCCTGTACCTCTTCTTCAGGTACAATTTCTGTATCTTGACTTTGATTAGCAGGTTCACTCCAATGACTTATGCGGATCATTGATGCTACAAAGAGCTCGCGACACCCATTGCACGGCATCGTCGCCCTGCTTGAGGGGTGCGAGTTTGCGGTTGCCTGTGTACCAGCAACCGTATTCTCTTGCTGGATTGCCAGTGTCTCATTTAAGGTGCTAGCACCCATTTCCTCTTGCTGCCACCTAGCAGCCTGTCGAGTCTTACGCGTTGTTGGTGCCACGGTTTGTGTGGCCATTGTTGTGTGCGTAAAGATGAGTTGAGTAGAGTTGATTGTTCAGTACGTCCATCGCCGGTGAGGTAGTTGGAATGCAAAAAAGTATAAGTTTACCGCCTATTGTCACACAAGTACTGCATTAGATCCAGTTATATTATCATGTGATCACAAACTCACATAAAAATGCCCTGGCTGTTACGGACTAGCCCCTTTCACACACTCTATTGGCTACATACGTGACTGTGACTAATGGTCTATATTCCTTTTACCTTTGGACACATTACATATTTTTCCCTGCTTTTATCCGACGTATTTAGCTCTCGTTTTACGTTTATGACTCTGCGCTCACTCGTCTCATTCGTGTAACTCATGTGACAGTGTTCACGCATCACTGATCCACTTACTCAATTTCTAGTTACTCATATCTCGGATCTCTGAGACCTTACGACGCTACCATGACTTACTGACCCACATTGACTCCTTGCGACCCACCTCTTCTATTTGTCTATGTTTA